GATTCACATCAACTGCTTGCATTCCCAAACAACAATTTATTGAAACTTTTCCTCCATGGGAAGAAGCCAAGACTTTCTGATGAGAAGTGCAAGCCCATTCCCCAAATCAAGTGATCAGACTCCTACAAAACCCAGTGGCAAGTATCTGCCGTTGTTTTAAACATAAACTGAAGAACTTACATGAGAAACATCAACAACAAAAAAGGCTGATAAAATATGCAATTAGAGGCTGAGTCTATAGTGTAAGATAAAAACACAGAAGAAACTTAAACTACAGAATCGCTATTTAGAGACAGTTTAAACTGCAAACACCATGACCCTAAGTCCAAGTTTGCTCTCCCTCACCCAACAGCAGATTAAATGAAACCTGCGCACTGAGAGAAGACAGCAAAGAAAAAACATTCAAGGAAACAACAGTGGGCTTCTTTTTGTGAGGCAGTAGAGCTGAAGGCAAATGCTTCTGCTACACAGACTGAGGTCATGTATCTTTTCAAAACAATCAACAAGGTTTTGACCTCTTCGGCTGTTTTTTATAAAACGAATACGTGTGTGTGAGAAATCTCTTCAAATTACTCTTCATTAATTTTACAGCCTTCTCTTAAATCAGAGATCTGTGCTTTTGATGTGCTTCTTTTTAGATGATCTACACTTGCCCCAGAAGTCACCTAGATCCCTCTCTAGTTTTACACACTATAAAAAAAGTCTCTTTTCAGGTCCTTAATCTCCTTTCACAGAATGGCCAGGGTTGGAAGGGACCTCAAGGATCATGAAGCTCCAATCCCCTGCCACATGCAGGGCCACCAACCTCCACATTTAATACCAGACCAGGCTGCCCAGAGCCCTATCCAATATGGCCTTGAACACCTCCAGGGAGAGGGCATCACAACCTCTCTGTTCCAGGATTTCAACTCCTTTCCTTTTCCACCTGTGCACAAGATCTAGTGTAGACAAAAAAAAAGTCTATTTAAAAGCCTTTGAAGTGGTTAGGTAGAGACAAGCATCCTTACTACATGTCTGCTTCACAATGGAACAAAATGAAGCAGACCATACCTGGAGCACTGCATTCCGGGCTCCCCAGTACAGGACAGACACAATAAAGGCAGTTTAATGAAGGCCATGAAAAATTCTAGAAACTGAAGCATCTCTCCTTTGAGGATAGGCTGAGAGAGCTGGGCTTGTTCAGCTTGGAGAATGAGGCAGCGTGGGGACCTTTACTTAAATTTGCAGCTTAAAATAAAAACAGGGATACAACAGGCTGCCCACTCTATGCCAGATACTTTGCTGTAGTATCACCGGCAAGATGGCAAGCCATCATTTCACACGTGTTTGTGGGCAAAGGCAAAATTCTGCAAGTGGCAGCTGGCAGCACACTTCTAAGGCACAGTTTACCAGCCCTAAAAGTCATCACAGGAGTCAGTACTGCCTTCAGTGTACACATGCTCTGCTCAAAGCTGCCCTCAGAAAGACAGCAGAACTTGGCCCGGACAGTCTTAAAAGGAACTGACAAGTGCCCCAAATTTCTTTTGTAATATAAATACAGACTTAGGAATTACAAAAGTTTAGTGTGACTTCACAGATCCCACGGCAACTCGCTGTGTGAAGGTACATCATACACCATCTAACCCTAAGTCAGATTCTAGACATTCTTGTAAGCTCTCACAGTGAGTTTAATTCTTATTGCAGTTATTGCGATCATTTTCAAATACTCAAGACTGCCACTAGTGTTAGAGATCACCTTCCCACCCCCACTTCTTGACTTCTGACTTCCCTTCCACTATACAAACCAAATGTTCTGCAGCACAGAGTTACAAGTCTCACACTTTCAGCACATTACTGCTTGTCTCTGCAGTAGTAAATGGCAAAACGAGCAGTACAAATATCTTTATCATCTCCTACATTTCAGCTATGTGAAGAGACTTCAGAGTAATACTAGAAACTTATTTTATCAATAATGCAATTTTAGTTTTTAATATAAAGCTGGTATGCTAGAGCCTTATTTTCAGGAAAAATGAACAGATGATTTCATTTTAAATCATTTTCACTCAAACTTCAGTTAAATCATTCTTTTCTAAGAAGTATATGAATCTCTAATTGGAAATTAATTGCATCTCATTTTTATTCAAGGTTTCCCTTTGAACAGCATGGAAAAGATCAGCTGCAATTTGTACACCTAAACCCATGAATGAGCAGAACAAAGGAAGCCTGAGGAATGTACTCATAGCACACTGTCTGGGAAGACCTGAAGAAGAGGAACTGACAAAATTCTCACCTTGTAATTGGCAAAGGTTAAGTATAGAAGAAAAAAGAAAAAGAATGCAGATGTTTTCACCTGTCCACCATGAACACAACGACAAATAATTTTTCCCACTTGCCCTTGCAGCAGCTTTTATTTTTATGGAACTGTTAACACCTCCTTCACTTCTCCCTTTTTCAGTCTAAACAAACTCTGTTTTCTATCTTTCTGTACAATTCATTATTTTTGCTCTCTTCTGCATTGTTTCCAAGTAGTCCACATATTTTTAAAAAGTGAGGTGGTCTAAACTGCTTGCAACACAACCTCCTGATCTTCCCCCAAAAGACAGCTACACCTAGAAGTGATTCACAGCTCTGCTGGTTCTTGAATAAAATGTAAAGGTGAGATTAGGTTCACTATGTTCACTCTACTGTGCAAACACTGAATCACTCTTGCTAAGCAATGTGTGTACAAATGTACCTTGCATTTCTTTGCAAAACCTGCCTCTCACATTAGATAAGGACAGCCAAAGGACATTCACTGGGAAAGAGAGGCTGAAACTTCCCCTTCTGTTGAATCCCTGTCATGGCTTCACTTGGAATGATTCATTAATGTAACAATCATAGAATGGTTTGGAAGGGACCTTAAAGATCATCTAGTTCAAGCCCCTTCCCGAGGCAGGGACACCTCCCACTAGACCAAGTTGCTCAAAGCCCCACGCAGCCTGACCTTGAAGACAGCATCCACACCCTCACCAGGCAACCTGTTCCAGTGTCTCATCACCCTCACAGTAAAAAATTGCTTGTCAATATTTAGTCTACATCTACCTTCTTCCGGTTTTAAAGCATTTTCCCTTGTCCTGCTGCTACTTGCCTTTATATAAAGTCCCTCCCCAGCTTTCCTGTAAGCTGCCTTCAGGATCTAGAAGGCCACTGTAAGGTCTCCTTGGAGCCTTCTCCAGGCTGAAGAGCCCCAGCTCTCTGTCTGTCCTCACAGGGGAGCTCCAGCCCTCTGATCATCTTCACGGCCCTCCTCTGGAGCTGTTTCAATAGCTCCATATCCTTCTTGTGTTGAGGGTCCCAGAACTGTACACATCTAGTTCTGTAATCTGCTAAACTCTTTCCTCGTATTATATGCCAGCTAGCAGTATTCCACAAGACCACATTTTCTGTCTATCCTTTTATACCTTGTAGCTCCTGGCCACTTCAGGCTTTCACACAAGCAGATTAAAATATTGTAATCCTGTAAATTTAATCCATTTTGCATTGTACTGAAGATTAACATTATTACATTTTCATTACAGCAAGGAAATGTGTGTAAAATTAGAGTGTGGAAAGGCTTGAAGTGTTCTTATACTCTTATCACTGTCTAAACATATACATCATCAGGAGACTCGATCCTGCTTTCGGTACCACCTTGTACATTTAGTCACCCAATCAGCCAGTTCAGATTCTTCACAGACAATTTAGCTTAGCTGCAAAATGCAACTTCAACCCCCAGCCATCCTCACATGGCTCTTAAGATACAGAGATTAAAGCTAGATGATATGATTATACTAAAGAAAAAGATCCAACGCAGCCCTAATGCTAAAGCAAAGGTATGCTTTTCTGAAGATTGTTTCACATGCATGCACTTTCCTAAGGAACCCATCAACCTATGGCTAAGGACTGACCTGTAGATCTCACGTCCAACACACACTGACATGCAAAATCTTGTGTTGAAAATTAATACCATGGGCACAGAAGCCCACATATAGCTCTGAATGATTAGGAGAGCTAATAAGACATAGGAGCTGAGAAATAAAATAGTCATTCTTTCTAAAGCAAAATCCTAAAGTGTAAGAAAAAAAATATTCAGCTTTTAATTAGTGTTACATAACATTTGATGGATGTAATAATATGAATTCCACTTTTCTTGGCTTTATAACTCAGATTTTGAGCTATGATTACTGCTGAACTACTGCAATAAAATTAACTCCCCAATAACACCTTCACTTCAAGTTGTACTAGAGTACATACAGACATTTTTTTATCTCAATTTTATACTCCTACTTTTTGAGGAAACTTTATATTTTCTCAGCACTTTGGCACAATAATAGCTATTATTAACAGGGGAAAAAAAAAAGAAGCTATGAAAAATATATTAGATTCTGCCTAACTCTTAATAGCAAGGTGATAGAATTTTTGATCTTTATGTTTGCAGGATTTTAGAAATTTTAACTTATAGGAAAACATCAAGCAAGATTTTCAACTACAGAGAAGTTTGAGGCAATAAAGTATTTTTCTATGCATGCAAAGTATAAATATGTATTTGAATAAGTAGTGAACTGTGTAGAAGAAAAGAAAGAAAATAAAGAGCTAAACCAGACCCAATTTGAAATGTAAATCATTAACACAAGCACTCGCTGTAGGTGAACACTTCATTCTGCATCGAGCTGAATTCTGATTTTTAAAATCAACACGCAGAACAGAGGGTGTTGTGCTAATGACTCTATTTACTCATTCTACAATCACATTTACTCACATATGATTAATGACTAAGTACACAACAAACCCATAAAACCTGAGGACATGCTGTACCAAGCAGTGCTCCTGCTCCATTCACCTTGGAGCCCAAAGTACTTGGCAGCAGTTTGATTGGATAGATTCTCTTACTTCTTTAAAATGCAGTAAGAGTTAACTGTAATAATTTAGTTTACTAAACCGTTAGCTTTATTTTTGGAAAGTTACTATCTTCATCTCAACAGAACTTGAAGGCTTGCATCACAATGTATTGTGGAGATTATGTGAGTATAATTATAATTCAAGTTTTTCTACACTTTTATTGCTTCTGATTTGCTGACGCATGTTGGACCTCATTTTCCTCCACCAAATAAATTAATATTTAATTTATTTGTGCAATTCTGGTGTTACTGACAGTACACATAACGTGTCTGAAATGAAAAGTATATAGAATTATCAGTTCATGTAACCTGGTTGTGAGTCTTCTATATCCGCACTAAGATGCTGGTACAGTGAGGCACAAAATGACATACTGCAACCAAGTTCTATGAAATGAGTTGATCAAATGAGATCAATGCAGGTATATAAAACCACCAGTGTTTTTTGGTGGGTCTCAATTCTCAGTCTGTGTAACTGCATAAAGTAATTAATACTCACAAGCATTTGGTTTGGTTCACAATGCAAAAAGTATTTTAAAGCTAGTAACTGATATCTGTAAAAGTGATAAAAGCACAGGAAAAACTACTGATTAATCATAGTAATATATTAGATAGTTTCATTTGAACTCTTCAAGAAAATGAAAAGTTCATACTGCGGTTTTAATGCTTCATTCTGAAAGCTACCATTAGTCATTATTTTCTGACAGCCAAGCATAAAATTGTTTTTTGCACCTGGGATACTGATAATTATGTTCACTAAGGACTTTCATGTTCTTTCATTAATTAATAGGAATAATGAGTCATTCATTTCAAATGCTTTTTGCATTTGCATTCTCAATAAATTTACTGATCAATGCAGTATTTTCTAAAGAACAGACAATTTTTATCCTTATTTTATTTGAAAGCATAATTGCCTTAATTATTCCAATCAGTAAAATATTTCTTCCTATAAAATTGTACTGAGTATATTTGTCTTTCAATAGAACTGGATGCTGAATGGGTTTTACTGATGTGTTTGGTCTTCTAGAATTTGAGATATTCTACTGTTAATTAAGTCAGTTAATAACCAAAAAGGAATTTTCTTCTTTCCCATTCTCTCTTTTTGTAAATAACAGCCTATTAAAAGCCTAAAAAGACAAGTAGAATTGCTCTATCTGAAAAATGTAGTAGATGCATTTCAGGTAGAGTTTCATTTCATCTACTGATTTATCGAGACCACTTGTGTTTAAAGGATTGACATTTCATCCTCAAATGACATGCTGCTTGGTATTAAAGGTAGTAAATGATAACTTATAGGATGAATTCTCACTTTTAATTCGTCAGAATTAGCAAACCATATTTGCAAGATAAAAACACTGCATTAGTCTGGTAGCACTGTCAGAAAATCTGATATTTTCATTTTTAACAGTGTGGGATGACTATCCCAGCTGCTTTAGGCTTCATTTGATATAATCACTCTGCATTAGTTCAGCTCATCAGACTGACTTAAGCAGACACAGAACTTAAGTTCTGATCTTTCAAATGATCTCTCAAATTTCACCAAAATACCCCCAAAATAAATGCTGAGGATACCATGCCTATTCCACCTGTTTTTAAGTATGTAAAGACAATTATTGGCCCTTTTTTGTTTCCTCAATTTCAGAAAGAAAAAAAATGTTAATCAAATGTAGATAATGTGATATAACTCCATCCCATAAAACTTAAGAAAATCTGACCACACACTTTCTCTGAGAAAAAAAAAGTATTTTAGCAGATTCTCAGGATAAGTAAGTTCTTACTCTTTATTCCCATTTCCCCAATGTGTTGTGAGCTGGGAGGGGAGAGAAATTAAAGGAGATTTGTATGAACTAGCTCAGAGGTTCCCAACCAGTACAGCAGGCTGCTGCTGGGGAGAAAGAACAGGGAGTTGCAGTGTGGAGTCCGAGCAAGCACCCTCCCCTGGATGTTTGCTTGCTCTTCAAAATGAAGTCAGTTATGAAACAACACCTGAGATTCAGCAACAAAACAACAGAAAACCACTTTTCTAATAGCATGGGCAAATCATGAGCAGAAAAAGCAGGATCTACAAAGGATGGAGTGGTGAGGCTGAGTCACATTAATTTCTCATCTATGCTCATTAAGCAAGACCTTAGATTGAGTGTAAGTCTTAATAGTACACTTACAGTATTTTTCAAAGAATTCCAATATGTTAATTTGCGTTTCTAAATCAGTGACAAGAAGCATGAAAAAGGAATTAGTAGTATTTAAAATATAGTTGCTTTTTTAAGATTATCTTACTGTTTATGTTCTAAATATATCTGCATATGTTGTATGTGGAATACTGGATAGGATGGAGTCAACCTAGACTAAGAATGAGATGTAGATAACACACAGCAGCAATTCTGACAGATTCAGCAGCACTGTGCAACTTCCTTATCAAAGATTACAAACAGGAAATGCTCCCCCTCCCAATACAAAGAGTTACAACTACCAGAAACTAGATAAAACATTTGTGTCCTCTCTAAAATACAAATACAGGAAAAGATGGGATGCTTTGGAGAAAGACTGAGTTTTCTACATTTACATGCATCTCTCCCATGTCTCACACATACACTATTCCAATGAAGTGTATTGCATACAATAACTCTTAGAATAAACCAAAATTATTAATGAACAGTTTTTTAAATAATAAAGCTGCACACAAAGGACACCACTGCAAAAGTATAGCAATAAGATAGCATGTAGTTAGTATTAAAGTAAGCATTTTAGTAGATATTCCCCATGGGAAACATTCAGACTAAGGAATCTGATTGTGTGCTATCAGCAGAATGACCTAATGAATAAGTATTATTAGAAGGCTGTTAATACTTCAGATTGCTTTTTCCATCACAAGATGGAATTGCCTGAACTTTACATATCATACATTGATAAAAAAGCAGCCTCAGTTTTGATGGATACTTTCATTGAACTGCTTTTAGCTTTGGTCAGGAAAAGTTGTAACTTTCTTGAACAGAAGGAAGCTAGATTTCAAGTATGATTTTTCAGCCTTAATAAATATCTTACAGTTCCTATTCAGTCTTTTCTCTATTTTGATTAATTCCACCAATACTGCAGAACCTGTACTGACAGCACAGCTGTTTTGGAATCAGTTCTTTTCAAAAGGTAAATCCACATATGCAAGCAAACATATTTATGAAATGCCCAATAGGACCACAACAGGATATGACACATATTGAGGTCAAAAAAGATTAAAATCCTTGAAGTTAAAACCAGAGTCATCTCCAGAGTTTTGCTTGCTTTAGTATTATGAGCATGGATGCTTTTGGGGAAAAAATTATATATTATAATGTTAGAACTCATATCAAATTAAACTAATGTTTTAAATTGTAGAGTTTTTCCACATTTCTTCAGTGAACTGTACCAGGTATTCTCCCCCTGCCTTCTTCAGAAGACTTGGCTATCTATTTTATAACCATCCATCTACACATCCTTACCAGTAACTGCAAACTTGTTAGTGAATTTCTGTAATATTTGGCTGCTGAATGACTATCCTTTCTGAAGATTCGTGAGAACACTGCTCAATGGAATCAAAGACCAATTTGCTCTTCTATTTAAAAACAAATGGCAGGTAAAACTCAAATGTCATTTATGTCATTGACTTACCATTGGTCTCATGGTACATACAAAGTTAGGATTTAGCCAGAACAAAGCATCTCCTACTTAGCCAGTAGTTGACTCAAAAAGGACCTGGATAGATTACATCCTTGTCCTAGTGCCAAGAATGTTAAATAACCCAAAAAAATATTCCAGCTCTTCTTAACTTATAAAAACACTTCTGGTACTTCAGAATTCACTGTTCTCCTTTACTTCTATGAGTAAGTCTAAGAACACTTTATTTAAAGGAATCAAATTCAGTGAAGAAGATAAATTACTTCAGGCTTCTCTTCTGACATCACTGAGAACACCACAAAGTCACTGCTGCAGCTCTGACATGGAATACAATTTCTGCTCACTGTAAATAGCAATATAATTCTCATTTAAAAGTGTGAAATCCATGATAGTGTCAGCATGAATCCCAGATCTTTTATTTTTGTCCCACATTTTGCCCTCTTGCTGACTATCAGTTTTGCATTTCAGCACCTATGTCAATCAGTAATTTTTTTTTTTTATATCTGTGAACCTCTGAATTCTTTGGCAGCCATAGGACACACTCAGATATATTAAACTCAAGTTCAGAGAAAGCACTAAGGCTTGGTTTGCAGTGCAGTGTACCAAAGTGAGAAGAAGGGGTGGATCCTGGCTCCACCTCTCCTCACTCTCATTTAAGGGCTGGCAGGCAAGGAAGCAATATCTGTCTGGATAGATACTGCACTTCTCTTGAGTAGTTATCTGTTGTGGGAAGGGGTGATCAAATTTTCTTTCTTTATTGCCTCTTACCACTCCACAGTGTCTGTATCCCATTCTAAGGCACTGTCCTCACCTTCTTTTGCTATATAGTAGGAATATCACAACAGGGATTAATTCAATAATCCGTAGTGACCATTTTAAGGAGAACAGAAGGAAAATTATGAGATCACATTATTAATTTCTCTCTGCTTCTCAGGAGTCACGGAAAGAAAAAAATACAGCATATAAGCAATGTTGTCAGAGATCAAAAGTCTCCAACCATGTTTTTTTCCTAGACACTCCACACGTGGAGAACAATGTTTAACTTAATGTTCAACAAAATTTACCTGTCCAGAAGTGAATCTCACAGAATTTATGATTTAACTAAACAAAATTTAGAAAACAACACAAGTCAAAGTTATACTTACAAGAACACAGCTATTGCAATAGTTCCATAACCCTGTGACTCACATTACCACTATCTATAACAAATGAGTTATAGGTACTCATATATAGACACTCCCTACAACACTGAGCTTCATGAGTATATCCCTCTTACTCATCTCTTTAGAGCTTTCTTCCATTATATGGATTTATTGGTCAATCACAGCTGACCAATAAAAACCTATGAAGTGAAACAACAGTATGCATAACCATAATCAGGTGTTAAATCAACCCTAAAAACACCCTGCTTCAAAACAGGGCAGTAGAAATTCTCTAATCATAGATAATGAAAGCAAACAATTCCCTTGTAGTTACCTGCTCTCTGTTCAGCATTGTCTGTTGTAAATTCATCCAGTAAACAAATGCCTCTACCGCCCTGCCCTTTCAGAACACACAGTGATGATCCTTGCTGTCATATAAGCATCATCTCTGCATGCTTAGACATACAAACCCTTCCTAATAACTTACCTAGGAAGCACAGTTTCGTACCTTAAGGTCATAGACTATGGAAACAGATTGGCAGCTTTGCCAAGGTGGTCTTTGTTTTGATGTATTTCCTTATTCGGGAACACTGAGCAAACTAAGATTGTAACCACGTGTGCTATTGAACTAGTTGGAGATTGCAACAGAACTTCACTGAGCAAAATGCCTGCCACAGCTCTCTGGCTTCTGTCTCAGTACAGATCACAGCAATCAAACTTTGTCAACAACTTAAAACTGCACCTTCTCTTCCATGCTTTCACTCTCCACATGACACTATGCCAAAAGACACAAGAAGAGTCTCCTTCCTCAGGAAAATCAACCTCTTGGATTTCCATGTTGCTTTTGAAGCAGGTTTTCCTCCTTTTCACTTGCTATGTAGTGTCTTGTCACCACAGAGCAGTACTGCCACTATCACCTCTGAAGTACAGGATTAAGGCTTCACCCTCTTTGTAAGGGTACATATATCCTGCACAGGATTTACTTCAGAGAGGCACTGACATGTCTGTACTTTTCAAAAAAAACAAACCAATCTTTGTCTCCACTGTCAGTGCATTACCTTGGCTTTGCCTTGCACAGTAAGTGACACACAGCTTGCTGGGATTCTTTGGTACAGAGCAGAAAACAAATGGTTACAGCACACAGCAGCAACTAGTGAGCTGCTACTGCATGACCATACTGAATTCAGACCCAAAATCACCAGTTTTCTATAGGGTTTGGTTCTGATCCATTCAATGAAAAACAAGTGAACTAAAGTTTAATAAGTTTAATATCCTCCTGAAGGAGATGAACTAGGGATGACTCTGCAAACTTGGAAAAACCTGAAGTTACGGAAGCAGTCATAAGATAAAACTGACATCAGTTGCGATGGAATCAATTTTAAGGGTCAGACTGCATATACAACACAAAACAGCAGAGCACTTTCCTAAAGGTACACTGCAACAATAACCCTGTAGCCTACACCAACAGCAAGAAATCAAAATGCAGAGGATTCTGAAGTGCATAAACTGTAAAACCTCAATCCTTCCTGGGAGAACTGTTACATACAGGCAGAGCACTGAATTGGGTGGGAAACAACCCTGAAAATACAAAGATGAAGTACACTGAAAATCCTCATCAGGACTAACAGTGGCACAATTATCTTAGGTGGGATGGTGTACAATACAAAACAATTCTAATTCAATTTTAATTTGTTTAAAAGTGAATAACAGGTAGGTTCTTCCCCTCAAGGGGAACCTTCATATTTAATTTGATTCTACTTAAAAGCATCATGACTTTAATTGAATCCTTGATAGGACATAGGTGTTTACTTGATTACATTTCATCTGCTAATGGTAAATCTCAAAGAATAAGGCAGTGAATGTTTCTGAAAAGCAGTAGCAACTCAGCTGAACCATAAGAGAATTGAGTCCATTCGAATATCTATTATTTTGTCTGAAAGACTTACTACAAGAGCTGTGTTTTGGGAGTAAAAACCTTACACTGAAAATCTGTATATCTGAAAGTACTTTTGTTATAATTGATCCCTCCATTATAATTTTGCAAATATTCATTCATATGCCTTTTTTCATTTTGATGGTTTCATGAAGATACAAATTCAAAAAGTGTAGTTCCAAGAACTACATGGGAATCCACTGTTAAAGCACTCATTTATTCATGATTATAAATGCTGAAAAGATCATTTGCTTTGTAACACCACAAACCTGAGTTTGTGAAAAGAAATACTCTGAGATAACCAGTGTTTCTGAATACTGAACCTGTTCACAGCTGTTGCCAAAAAGAAGAGCCAGCACTGCTATTTTAAATTAGATTTGGATAAATACATACACCTGCTAGATTTTCTCTCCTCCTACCATCCTTCTGACCAGCAAGTACAGTGACATGGTCAGAGAGTGCTTAAACAGCATGTCAGATATGCTCATCCTTCCTATCACAGGTTTATACTCTAAGCTAGAAGTCTCCAAATCATGTATCTGTTACTCAAATTCCATTCACAACCTATCATTCTTTATTATTATTCTCATAAAAAAAAATTCTGTTTTGGCAGTTCTAGCATAGTATTTGATAACAGTTTGGTTTTGGACTTATTTTCTCCTTCTCAAGATTGATGAGCTATTCTAGCGGCTCAGACATTCTGAGAAGCATGAATTACAGAGGCAGAAAGCTAAATTCCATTTTTCTAAGTCAGAGCATATATCAACATACATTTGCTGTATTCTTAAGACATAGACATAACAGTGTCTTCCAGCAGTTCTTTCTACAGTGATTTTGTTTATCAGCAAGTTTCAGGGTGGCTTGTCAAGCTACATTACCTATCAGCCAAAGAGTTCACACGTTCCTGCCTCATGGGAGAACTATCTTTGACTCTCAGTATCACTTGACATGCTAACAAAGGAAAAGTGAAAATACCTGATGTCCCACACAGCCAAAGAGCACTCAAACTCCTGCAAATAGCACATATCTAGGAGACTTCTGGTGAACAACATTTGAAGAGCACACGTACTGTAAGACAACAGAAAGTCACTTGGATAAAGATAATTTGAGGCTGATCTTAACCAACGGATATGTTACATGACTAGTGAGACTTAAGATACATGGACTGAAGGGGGAAGATAGCATGGAAAATAGCTAGAGGATAAGTCTGAAATTCATTTTAGGTACAATGTTATGTATCACCTTATAAAAATTGACATGGTTTCATCATCATCTCTACAGCCAGAGTTTCTCTCCTCATCTCCGAAAGATTTTTCTCATATTTTCCCTAATTGTTTTTAATGAGTAAAATGACACTATGAATTTTATGCTTGTGTAGGACATTGTATTTAAAATGAAGAGTAAACTGCAGAAAGATGCTTGTCTAACAGACAATATTTCCTTTCTTATGTAAAGTAACTCCTTCAAAACCTTAAATTTCTGATGCTACATTCTTTTCCTCTCTTAGCCACCAATAATTTGTTTGTCCATACACTTGTTTGCCTGGTAGGTCTAAGTAAACTAAAGTAATCATCAAATAGACCAAAGAATTATATTTTCCTTCTCTTCAAATATATATCCACTTCTTGCTTGTTGCTTTTTAAATCCTTCACCAAAACTGCAAGCTAAGGACACACATCATTAGCAGCCAAACACTAAACCAGTATGTGTATGTCATTACTGCTGAAGGCACCACAGAAAAAAAGATTTCAAGTATACATTAAGCGAGAAAATAAAGAGAGTAATGCAATTAACGGACCTCCTAATTCTAAGAGGCTTGTGTATAAATACATCATTTGTATTTGTAAATAGAAAATTGGGTAAAATTTAAGTATTTCAAGTTATCAAGTTCATTTTAATCAAATGCATTTACTCAGAACAGGAATCATTATAAAAGACAACTGTTATGCAGGGCGAGTTTGAAAAGGCAGGTATAATCCTCAGAGGAGCTGAAGGGGTTAACTGAGGTACAGAGCTAAGCAGCATTGAACCTCAGTTATTTTCATCTGTATGCAGATCTGTGATCCTATTAAAATGAGGAAATCAATTCTATTTACTATTCATGGATTTGGCAAAACATGAAATACTGTATGAAACAAAGTATCATTGGGAATGAACTGAGAACAATTTAATCAGCTAGAAAGCAACCAGAAAAATAACGCTGACTTCCACATAGGATGTCAGAAAGATAGCTCACACTTCATCCCAACATCATTTCTTTTAAAATTACTGCCTTGGTAAGCAACCTACATTCTTCATTCACTATTTTCTCACCAGCCCTTTCAAATTAGAAATATCAAAAGAAATTGAAGACTAACAGGAATAACACAGATAACTTCAAAAGATAGAATATTTTCAGAAAGGTTGGAGAAATAGAAACAAAACAGTGATTCCATTTTAATGAGAACAAAACACATTAATAACATATTTTCTTTGTTCAATCCTAACTTAAATATGCTCTGGCTTCCTAAGGTTTGCTACAAGTTCTTGCCTGTAAGTTTAACGTACTTTTCCCCAAAAAGCAAAAGTTTTAATCTTATGTGATTGTTGATTCTCACTTGAATCATATATGCAGTTAAAAAATATAAAACATTGCAATTAAACACTTCTTTCTCCTTTAGCAGATACAAGGAACAATTTTTCCAGCTCCAAATTTTAACCCTATTATGGATGCTCAGTTGCTAGGAGGAGCCCTGCAGGGAATTAGTAAGTATCTTGGCATATTCCAACACATCTTTCATTACATAATAACACAAACTAAATCCATATATACCCACAGTAATAAAAACATCAATACACGTGTTGATTCTTCAAGGCATCACAGTAAGGCTCACCAGTGATATCCAAGCAAATCATCCACCTGCAGGAGCTCAGAGCTAATTAAAATTAATCTTAAATGCATACCAACACTGCTAATAGCAAATGCTTTCCGTGAGAAAATAAGAAAGAGTTGTCACTATAATGAAAGTCAAAACTGGATTCATTTTTAGTTGTAACCCCAACGTTAGCTAGAAGCAGAGATTGTTACACCTTTTAAAAATAACACTCATCAAGAAATAAAAAGAAATGGAGTAGAAATGTTTAAAGTATTAATTATCTTCCCCTCTGGAGTAAATTTTGCTTTCAGTCTATGAATAAAAATACGTTCCACAAAACATTTCTTTCTGTTCCAGATTTGTTTACAGCAACACTTCATATTGCTGAAGGTTCTAAGGATGATTTTCTTTTTAATTACCCTGTGAAACATTTTCCTCACATTAAGACTGTTTCCTGTATCAGAACTTTTTTTTAAATCACCTAAGATTTTCACAAGACTGTATAGCACCAGATCTTGCATCCTGGTCAGTTTCTTTAATAGAAAAGTGAGGTTTTAATCTTAATGTCAATAGGAACACCACAAAGTAGATATTATTAAGAACAGCACAAAGGATCTTTCTTAAGTCCATTACAAATGAATTTCTACTTAAATATTTTGCCAGACTTCAACCAGCACTTTTAATGCAACGTAGCTAACATGACAACACAAAGAATATCCTCTCCATTTACTGCTGTAAACACACATGCAGTAGCCCTACTTTAAACTCTGCCTGACAAAGAACATAGAACAAAATTCTAGTCTCAAAGAGAGCTGGCAAAATACGATGCTCAGCTTAGAGCAGTTCAAGTCTTCACATTCTTTGCAATTCCTGACACCCCCATGTCCTGCACACACATTCATTCTCTCAAGGAGGCTTAGTCACATACTGTTACAGCTGGGAAGATTATCATGGTGAAAATAGGAAAAGAAACAAACAGGGAAGGAACACTCACCTGTATCCAAAGATCTAGGTTCACAGGAAAAGCTCCACAGAAGAGAGATCTCCAGAAAGAGACCCTTCCCCAGTGGGGGTCAGCCCTTAAATGGGGTCTGGGAGAGGTGCAGCCAAGCTCCACCTGTGACTTCCGGTCACACAGCTGAATTGCCTTCACCTGTGCTCCCAGGGCTGACTCAGCCCTTGCCTCAGGTGATCAATCAGTGGTTCAGGCCATGACTCAACAGTTCCCATACACATACATTATCCCATTAATACCAGTGGTATTACAAAAAACAAGTTAAGTCATTTAGGCATTTAAACATTTCTTGAATCCTCCTTAGTTTTACTGTAGAGACTGTATAAACTGTACAGAATCTTACTGATAATTATCTTCTGAAAAGTAAAGGAAACCCTTACACACAGAGGTTCAGTAACACATCCATTTTGTGAGCTTGATGGAAATGAATCAAACTGATATGAAATCAGTGTAGCACAAGAAGCCATTACAATTATAGCTAGATGGACTACAAGAAAGAGAACTGAACTTACTGCATAATGAGCAGACACAGACTTCGTCTGCAAACTTATTAAAAAATTTAAATCACATCCGATGTCCAATTACATCTGTGTCAAAATGGAGCCTACCACTCGTAGATCATATGACAAGATCTGCCTAAGCTGAAAAAAATACAGAACTTATATCTATAACACATCTATATGTGCATATAGAACAGTGATTTGTAGAAGCATCGGAGTATCTTTCTCTAGTCAGATGCTAGGTGATCTCCATGCTTTGTAGCCAAACTTAACTCTAAGTGTAATAAATTGATCTACGCTTGCAGACATGTTTCTGCAGGAATGACACTAAAATGCTGAACCATCTGAAATAACCAAGAACCATCTTCTGGGATGGAAAAAATTCAAAAAAGATAAAATAATTTTCAGAACATGTTAATCATCATCTTCTTTTTCCTGAGCAATTAATACTGATGAGTTATGGAAGTTTACCTGTAAGCTCCAGGTACCCAGCAAAAAGCAGAGGTAAACAAATTGCACTCAGAAACTAATTTTTAAAATAAAATATTATTTAAAACTTCATAATTTAATTTATATAGTTTCTCTGAAAATATGTAGCTTTCAACAAATGGCATGACTGTAATTCAAGAAATCCCTAATCCTGAAATGACAATTTAATCAATATCAAGAAGGCATACAAGTATGGCTCAGCCACAGATTCTTTTATCGTGCCTAGTTCTGAAGGGATGAAAGCTGGGATCTGTTCCATTGATGGCTTCTAATCCATTTCACTTGAGAGAGATGGTGATGTATCCGATAATAACAGACTATTTCACTAATTGCTGGTAGTACACCAACAAGTGAAAGGTATGTATGCAAAGCACATATAACTGATTTGGTAAATACCAGCAAAATATCAATTTGTTGGTGTGGCGTTTTTTTTTTTCAAGAAATTAAGTTTATATTTTTGAACAAAACAGGAACAATCATAAGCCTAAGTAAATAACCATTTGTTAATTGAGAATCTGTGTCTGGTTTATTTCCAGGTTGTGAAAAAGATGTGTTGATTGATGTCCTAACACAACGCTGCAATTCACAGAGGCTCATGATTGCTGAAGCATACAGAGACATGTATGGCAGGGTATGACAGAACCAAGCTGTGCTTTCTTTCCTTACTTTTGTCCCTTCTGTTTCCAGTACAGTTGGTCAGTCCTTCTCTCGGGTCATCGCTAGAATTAGAAAACTGGCAAACTGCTGACTGGCACCAAAAGGTTGGCACACAACTTTGCTCATGTAACTATGCATACATTTGAAGGTTTCTAAATGTCATTTACACAGCAGAGCATCTGCCACAAAACAAGGAAGAAAAAAGGTCTGCCATTTTTTCTCTGAGAACAACTATTGATCTGCTCACCAATTATCTACTTGAGTTTTCTTTTTAAATCCAGACTAAAAATATCACATAAATACCTAACTCCTTATGAAAACACATTATCAATAAATTTCTGTCTCCTTCAGCCACAGCCAATTAACCTAAATCCCTATAAAGCTAGTGCTCACAGACCTAAAGACCCAAAAGAACTAAAAAGAATGCAAAAAAAAAACCCCAAAAACCTTCAGATTTTTTTTTAAGTATCACAGAAACAAAGAATAGTAATAGAAGAGAGTGCACTTCTTATACTTCAGCAGTGCACTCCACAAACAGTCTCAAAGTCATGGACTCACCGCTGCACATAGACCACAATTTCATTTAAGTGAATCCATTCTATGCTGTGTGTACTTGATAGATACAGTCCAAATCAGTTTTAATCTAACACTGAGACTAAACAAGAATGCTGAATTTGTCATTTTCACTTGTGACAGTGGACAGACTGAAACAGATAATCCTGTTAGTGCTCCATGCAGTTTGATTTATCCCTCAAAACTTTGCTATCTTACAGCAGGAACTGCTGAACAGGGATGTATCTTGCTATGAATTGCTGCAGTTTACAATTCAGGAGATACTCCAGCATGTATCAGTGACAGCATTAATTTCAGTTCCATACATTCAATATGGTAGCCACTATGGTAATTCCCTTGAAAAATGGAAAGCATGAGATATTAGAAGGAGAACTAGGTATTAAAAAAAAAAAAAAAGAAAGAAAAATACAACCAGCTGCATGACAAAGATATAAACAAAAGCTTTAAGACCTTTTACAATTAGACTTCAAGAATTTAGTACAGCAGAGACAATTTAGGAAATACTAACACTGACAACTTAGGGTTGCCTTTTCTTATTTTTCAGTACTTCCAATTCCCTTAATTCTAATTGCAGGGATAATCTATAAATAGTACCTATCTGTACTATTAACCCATTTTCCCAAAGGCATGATGTTTGAAATGAAATAACTTAATGAATTAATTTCTATTCCATGTGTGATTCAATAGCTGCCAAATGCACATAATATGTATATAGTGAATACTGTGTGTTTCTTCCTCACAAACCCAACTTTTAATCCATATTTGTCCTCCTTCATTCCCAGTCTAGCAACTAATTTAATTATATTAAGATATGCATCAAAAGTAAAGTACAGGCTGGAAAAAAAAAGTCTCTCCAATAAATTAAGTTTATACCATGGGAATCATTTCTGGTACTCCTACAATTTCTGACTTAGGTCAGAGCCTATCTGACAGCTGCCCAGTGCTGTACAAGTACCTTCTTAATCAGACACAGCAATCCCATAGCTAACAGGTTTTTGGCATTTGCAATGTTTCAAGGGATGCTGCTGGGAAAGGGGAGAGTGGGAAGAAAACTCTCTTCCATTAGTCAAATACCTGGCAAGTGAGGAGGCTTCCCTTTTATTAATCCAATGTCTGTCCAAAGTAGTGAACTCATTTTGAATATTATATGTAAACTGAAGCACATAGCCCTCCAGTAATCCAGAATAGGTATTTTTATGTACTGGGATGATTTTTTAAGAATGATTTTTTAAATTAATCACACAGCAAATAACCCAGAAGAAATTAAGGAAATTGCCTTTGTGTTATGGGATTTAACTTCTGTGAGCTCAGCTCTCACAGATTCAGACAGGGAATCTGCCATGGGAAGCTGCAAATGCTCTGCTATGGTATTCAGGCTTCCAAGCCCCTAAGGAGCAGTTGCATTCGAACTCCTAAATTTTCATCTGTATTCCAATGAACCAAAAATCAACAAATCTAGATAGTTTACTTGCTTCTCTGTCTGTTGCTATCTCACAAGTACTACTAAAAGGAGTAGGTTCTGTAGGTTCAGACAGTTCATCTTCATCCCTTTACAAAGAAAACTGCTAATGTTTTTAAGTTGTTTTTCATGAAGCGTGACTGTTGAAATAATCCTATGTATTTTTGTTAAGGATTTGATGACAGACCTAAAAGAGAATCTCTCTCATCACTTCAAAGAAGTCATGGTTGGCCTAATGTATCCACCTGCATCCTATGACGCCCATGAGCTCTGGCATGCACTGAAGGTATTGGCCCAATTAACAGCTACTCAGACACACAGTCACTGTTTTTATTACTTAATATATGACAGAGTGATTTTCTGTATATTTAAATGCTTGATAAACTGCTAGAAAGATGTTTCATAGTACACTGACATATAAGAAATTTTTAAAAAGTTTTTTTAAGCATTTTCCACCATGCAATTAAATGGTGAAATCCATTGCTGCATGGCAATATTGAAACCAAAAGCACAAATTGGTTCAAACTGGATCAAAAAGGACTTGAAAAATTCTTAGAAAACAACTTTGCTCTTGGTTATTAAAAATAATCATTCTTTACATGTTCTTTCTTAAAGAAATTCCTAAATTGCTAAATCCTGAAAGATGGGAAGGCATATCCCAGAACTGATGTTCTTACCCACTTCAGATTGCCTTGAACATTTCCTGGCACGTATACTCAATCTTTGAATCTGATTTCCCTCAGTAACTCCTAAATTCCTATTCAAGCTCTAAAATTCTTCCCACTGTGTTTCTGTCAACAGCAGTCTTGCTTCCTTCCCCACTTACTAACATATATTCTGAAATCCACAGTAAGTAGGAGCACGTGTAAGTTTCTACTCTTAACTTGAAGTCAATTTCTTTTTAAACAGGTACACTATGCAAAGGCACACCATACACAGAAGAAACTGTTAGTCTTTTGTTACATCTAATAAAGCATTTCTTTCTTCTGAAAGCTCTGGTTCCTAATGACTTCATATTTACTTCCTCCTACACAGGGAGTAAACACGGAAGAAAAGTGTCTAATTGACATATTAGCCTCAAGATCAAATATGGAGATATTCCAAATGAAAGAAGCCTACTTAACACGTAACGTATTGTACAAGTGTACAACAGCAGCTCTAATATGTGTATTAGGCTGGATGTATTAGCATGAGTGAAAGAACTAAATTACAAAAGTGACTTCTCAGCATAGTTCCCTTCCTCTTCCTCCCTCTTCATAATTATATTTAAAAATGAAGAAAATGAATAAAGTTTAACGTATGTCATAGTACTTTGGAGATGTATTGCTGCCTATCATGTTTTAAATAGCTAGCAGTCACACTTAGGGATTTTCATAAACGTTGGCACACATTTTTCCAAAGTGCATCAACTGTTTTTCTCAGAAAGTGCTTCCTCAGGCTGAATACTCAACTCACCTTCCTACAGCGGGTGCTTCTGAATATCCCACATTATGCAGCTGCAGCAGTGGCAGGGCTGCCAGGCACAGGCAGGAGGATGGGTGAGCTGCTGAAGTGGCTGAAGCCCTGGCAGGGCAGAGCCCCTCTGTGGTTAGGTCCATGCAGAACCTGCATGAGCTCCTGTGGAATAATTTTTAATACCTTTATAAAATGAGCGTGTATTTGCACCCTGTGTGTTTACCCTTTGTTTGCTTATTTTCATACGTAACATTCAGAGCGCGTTCGTTTTTTATTTATTTAGCTTACACATTTTTGTTTTAATCTAGAATACAACAGTGACCTTCAACAAGATATCGATTCTGAGACTTCAGGTCACTTCAGAGATACTCTCATGAACCTCGCTCAGGTACTGTAAAAAAAATAAATAGTACGATACACACACAAAAAGTTTAGAATCACTTCTAATATAATCCAAGAAATCTTAAAGTAACTGCAGCTGAAGTTTGCTCAATACAACTACGCTTTTGAACAAGAGAGTTCAAGAAAGAGTAGAAGAGGAAGAGAGCTGGAATTCTTTCATCTACTTTGACTTTCACTTCACTTTTCAGATAGAAGCAAAAATCAACATTTTTTTAGAAAGGTCCTGAAAACACAAATGCTGACTCAATCGGTTTCATTTCCAAAGGAGTCTGCTGTCATGTCCAAATTAGATTTTTGTTTTTAAAGGTCTGTTTTCCCTGTTTTTAGAATACACAGCTCATCATCTAGTCTGCATGTGAAAATGCAGACATATCTATGAAAGAAAATATTAAGCAGTTCCTTGTTTTAAACATTATGTTCTTTGCACTACTCTTTATGCTAAATCACAGTACACAAGCATGCAGCCAAAAGAATTACAATCACACAGCAGCTTTGACACAGCATTACCAAGTTGCAGTAGTGATCTTGCTGAGATCACAAGTTGCTGTTCTCACTGCAGTCAACATGCACATTACCTTTAAAATGTATTGCAAACCAGAGTAACAAATAATGACAAAACTAATGGCAGCAACATGAATTGCACTTACATTTCTATACGTTTGTCTGTTTGGGGAAGGCGTTTCTTACTAAGATACGAAATGACATTAGGCCTCACTGAGCACAGACATGAAGAACAGATGTTTCAAAGGTAGAAACTATAAATGGGAAATATTTTATCTAATACTGGAGGGTTTCTCCCTTAATAATGAAAATTCTTCCATGGTTAAAAAGTAAAGAGCTAAAATCTAGGCAACTTCATCTCTTCTTACCTTTACCAAACCCATAAGAAATTTTTGTTTATCTTAAAGTTATTCTCTTGACAATGTCAGACTAACTTATTGCTCTTTATTTTCTATACACGTACAGACCTTTGATATCAGCAACTTCTCAGCTAACAAAGTCTAACTGCTATTTGATAAAGAATGGTTGTAGGAAATTCCAATTTTACTAACCTATACTGTGTATCTTTGAAGACTGCTAACTGAATCATCCATGTCTGAACAGGGTCTTATATTAAAAGTCAGTGATATTTCATCAGTTCTAGTGCTATGTAACTTACAGAAAATTATTCTATAGCAACATTTCCAATGTAACCTTAGGTCATTGGGGGGTTTTTTTTGGAAGCACATTGCTTTGATTTCTATTAAATCTCTGGACTGATTATGCACACATCTGACCACAAACAGAAGCCACTGTGTTTCACACACGGATGACAAACTGTTCAATTGCTTTAGCATAGTAATTGTGGTTTTGATATGAATACCGAGGCAAATTAGAATCTACATAAATCTGCTACCAATGAATGTACACCAGCAAAATCCTCTGGATGGAAATGATTCTGAAATAGTAATTCCTAAATAAATTTAGAAATTTACAACTTCAGGTTAGTCAACGTTCTTGTATGATTTAGAAAATATTTTTATTGTTTGCTGTGTCTGAACTGAAATCTAATTATTTTCTAGAATTTTAAAAATGGTCAAGGGTAGCGTGGGATTCACCAGCTAAATTGTGCCAAGATTAGTCACTATTAATCATAACTGGAAGCAGTGGGCACTTACCTTGTGTAGAGTAGTATGCATCTTACTGCCTACTTGTCTTTTTTTCCCTGCACCTATGTCACTTTATGTGGTCATTCCAGCATAATTTCCTTCAGGTAATTTATCTTGTAGGAATTCTGCTCTTAGCTATGTGAAATTCTTACAATTCAATTATAATACAGCTGACTAATTTTAACAGGAAAGAACTACAGATCAGTCATTCCAAGAGTCGACACATGATGCATAATTTTAATCCTCACTATCACATGCACAAAAAAACAATTGTAAATTCTAAAGTAAGTTGCTTCAAACACATCATTAAGACAATGACTGCATATAGCTTGAGACTATTAAAGAGTTTGCAACCAGGGCTGATTCGTATCCTTACAAGACGATTATGGTTAAAAAAGCAATTCCTGAATGTGTGTGCTTTTTTCTTTTTCTAACAGCTACGTAATTCAGATCATAGCGTGTTTTGTTTACTAAAACACATCATCTTCATTTATGTAACTGAAAAGTTATCAAATACATGGAAATGTTGTAAGTGTTCTTCTTTGGTTTATACAGCAAAGTTGTCAAACAATTTGCTAGACTTAGATCTTAATTTTAGACAATAATGGAGAAAGGATTTTCCTAGCAATACACGTAGTGATATGAAACAAGCAGTCAGTGGCAAATGCTACCCTTCTACTTGCTTTTCTCTCAAAGCTACGTGTTACAGTAAACAATACAGCATTCAGAGCACTGGTGTGGTGGTAAAATATCATTTAGAAATCAGACTAATAATGGGATGGGTTTACGGGGCAAGTTTATCCACTTCCACATTTTTTTCTCTCATAACACAGTCTGCCATTTCAGTGTTCCTCTGTTCAGAAGATATGAAGCTGTAAATGAAAATTTGAGGATATTTTCCACGGTTGCAAATTCAATTATTTATTACATTGATTCAACGTTAAAAAAAACTGTGTGATATCTCAAGAAATGAAACATAACATTTATTTTTTTTTCTTCCCCCCTCCCCCAGGGAACAAGAATGGAAGGATATGCAGATCCTTCTACAGCTGCTCAGGATGCAATGGTAACAGGCAGATGTGGAAACGTCCCACATAAAAAAAAGAACAAATGCTAATGTTGAAAAGTGATTCAGAATTATTTAAAATCTTCTGATTTTTTTCTTTTCCTGGTATAACAGATTCTATGGGAAGCCTGTCAGCAAAAAACAGGCGAACACAAAAACATGCTGCAAATGATACTGTGCAACAGGAGTTACCAGCAGTTGTGGATGGGTAATCCAGTGGTTCAGCTGCTTGACCATACAGCGTAAAGGAAAAATCTAATTGCTAATAAGGCCATGGTTTATGTATCAAGCTCAGTGAGCAGCAGAATATTAGCCTGAACCATAACTGTGAACACTTGGAGCTCCTAGAATCTCACTGATGTTAATGGGATTTTGGAAGTAATGCAAAATTGAACTTTGCCTGATGACTACAAGTTTCAAAGATGTTTTGAAGGGGGAGGGGGGAACTTGCAGAGTTCACATCTGCTCTCTCTTAAAGAACACAGACACACACAGAAACATAACAGGATGCTTTTATTTAGAACTAGATAGTCAGGCATAATTACAGATTAAGAAAAAAAAAGCGAAATCTTCCACTGCAGTTAAGAAATTCATCTGCTTGATGACAGGTTTGAGATGTGTTTTGTTCTGCTGTGGGAAAAAGTCTGCTTGGTGACAAGTTTATCACTGTGCAGGCAGTTGTACTTCTTCTGCCAACTTCTAACAGTAGCTTAGAACTACTCTGGTGTCATGAATCAACCAGATAATTCTGTCACAACTTCTGTAAGGATGGTGATCATGGGATTAGCACAGTGTAACACACCTGGCCATGCTAATATTCCCCCGCTGTAGAAGACATTTGAGGGCTCTGCCTGTAATGTAGTTCACTGTAAGTTTTCCTAAGGCTTATGTAAGCATGCACTGTACTGGTGTGTATGTAAGTCCAGACAATGCAGATGTCTGGATAGTGACACGTTACGCATATTGTGTGATGGCTTCTCATAATCTATGAACATTTGGCCAGCTTTAGCCAAGCTGAGCATGGAACATGTCTTACATGAAATTCTTACAAGTTCTAAAAACAGAGATTGCAGGAGCATTTATTAATTCTTACTATCTGTGAAAAATAGACTTTGGTGTGGATTCATTTTAAATTGTATACTAGAGAATCTAGAAAGAGAATGTCCTGGGAGCCAGGTTTCAGACTACTCATTTAGATTGCCTTAGTTGCAGGATATAAACTTAAGAAAACACTGCAAACAAATAAATAGAAAAAATTACAATTAAGGGTTATAGTAAGGAGGGTGGGAAGGTGGGGAGAGGAAAGTTGATCACTGTTAATGAACTAGAATAAAGTGAGATTTCTTTTCCTCCAAAGTTTTCCAGGAGTTCCAAAGTATCTCTGGGCAAGACCTGGTAGATGCCATCAATGACTGCTATGATGGATATTTTCAAGAATTACTGGTTGCAATAGGTATATAAAAATATACAGAATATACATAGAAAGAATTTTGTTTTTCTGATACTCTTCTCCACTTTCCCACATTGTTTGATTAAAAGTTCAGAAATAATTAGAAAAAGATATTTGAACAGAAATTCTGTTCCATGCTCATGTAAATCTAAACACGTACATGTGCAGCACCAGATTCTGACTGAACATTTGATAACAAATTTGGTGTGATCAGTGATGGATGCATTAGCAACTGACTCCATACACCTTAAATCAATCAGTGAATCATAGAACGAGCTGGGTTAAAAAGTACCACAATGCTCATCTAGTTTCAACCCTCCCTGCTATGTGCAGGGCCACCAACCATCAGACCAGGCTGCCCAGAGCCACATCCAGCCCAGCCTTGAATTTGTAAATTTTTCAGGACTTCACCGGTATGCAAACAAGTTCCAAGCTTTATCTGTCCATTTACAGATTAATAACATTTCTACACGTGTCACAAGAGAGCATTCACTGATTTTTAGTGAGCCTTTCTGTGTAATGAGTGCTTAACCAAATTAAGTACCAGACTTTTAACTGATACATATAGCCATGGCTGTGAAAACTGGTACCTTAATTTTGAGTTGAGTTGTGGATAGCACTACATAAGCTAACAAAAGTGATTTTACCATAATTTCCTATTTACCTGTAGTAACATCTCTTTCCTAGTTCTCTGTGTCCGTGACAAGCCTTCTTACTTCGCTTACAGACTCCATAATGCAATTCATGTAAGTAGCTGTTCTTCTCCACGTATTATAAAAATTAGCTTCCTATTTTTGTTTGCTTGCTTACACTCAAATAGTTACAAATCAATCTGTTCAACCCTTGAGGTGGGACTGCATGCTTTAAAACTTTTGGCACCTGAATACATTTCAAAGCAGCAGTGCCTACACAATGGAATGTAACAGAATTTAACACTAATAATTTAAATATTTAGATTCCTTTAGAGATCTGTTTCTTTCTTTCTTTTTTTTTTTTTTTTAATCAGAGCTTTTATTTTCTTTGGATTGTAGCTCCATCTGCTGTTCAGAACTGAATGTGCACTTTTTGTACCATGCATTCCCCCCCCTCTCCCTCAAGATTTAATAAATATTACAAATAATTAAGTTATAAATTAATGTTACTTGAAAACAAATAATCATACTTTCTTGTGTGGCTCTACGTACATCTGCAGGTTCTTTTATCTTTGTGTATAAATACTATCACATTAAATCATGTGAACGCCAATAAGAAATGGAGGTAAATGCAAAGAAAAACCTTCAAACTACTCTTAAAGGAAGCAAGTGAAGACATTTCTTTTGTTTTTCATTCATTAGTGAAAATAAGATTCTATGTTACATAAAAAATAAAGTTCAATCTCTTACGTATAATCCTCAAAGTATAATCTTCTAAATGTTATCTACAGATCACAATAAAAGTCAGCCATGGGTAAAACATTAAAAATCATTTTAGAACAGAAAAGGCAAAAGATTAGATTCAAGGCCAAACCATAGAGCAAAACTATTCAGCAACGCTGCAACAGAGCCCCAGTGTCCTCTTCCAATACTACTACTGTCACCTGTTTTAACTAAACATGCAACAGGTGACAGCAGAGAAACGAGGAAAATCCTGTGGGTATTGGGAAGAGGCATAATTTGAATGGCTAAAAGAGGATTCTGGTACATGATGTGAAAAAGGCTTGCCAAAAGTACCAGCTACAGGAAAAGTGATTGTTTCTCTAAGATCCTGTGGAGACTGATTACAGATAACATGGGTGAGGCATTCAGGTTAACTAGAAAAGGTTTTGAAGGATTAAGAATAAACATCTACATCTCATTTTAATTCATATCTTTCCCTGTTTTCACAAACTGTTTTAGTGAACACACAATTCCTGGAATAAATGCAAGATTTTAGTTGTGTCTAGTCTCGCAAGTCAAGCCATGCCCAGACTACAACAAAAGCTTTTTACACATGCATTGCAATACAACACAATTCACACTGGATTCTCATGTTTGAGATCACAGTCTATAATGCTTCACAGGAGAGGTTTCAATCTAGCCATCAAATAGTCATTAAATTCTCCATAAGCAGCTTTATTATTATCACTTACTATTTGCCTTCAGGGTAAAGAGATTTCAATGTGAAGGGATAGATCATAAAATTACCTGTTTGGCTTTACACAACCTAAACAGGTCATCAGGACCTCAAAGCTGCTTTGATTACTTTAAGCATCACTGGATGTCTTCTTGCACCACACAATTACAACACCAATATTTGTTTAGAAATCCTTAAAAAAGAACAGCAAAATACAAGTTATGTACAATCTGAATCAATGACTAAAAATCTCACTGAATTCACACTGGGGAAACAGACTGGGAAAAAGATTGACTTCAGTATAGTTTCAATGAACTCCATAATGTTAAAACAGCTAATTGTAGAACAGGTTATCTACAACTACTGGCAAAAGTTTGAGGCTTTCCTTTTGAAAGCTTCATTGCACAGTTAAAACACTCATATATGGAAAATACCTCCTACTCGTTGATATGAATTCCATTATTCAGGCATGTGAAAACTTAGAATAAAGCCTCTGAACACCTAGACATTTAAAACCTTAAATGTCTTTATGGATGGCCTAATTAATTGTCTATTACAAAAAACTAAAATAATCATATACGGATTGGCAATACAGCAATAGATGCTCGCCTAGTTTTTTCATGTATTCTCTTTTTTAGGATTTTGGGTTTCACAATAAAACAGTCATAAGGATTCTCATTGCCAGGAGTGAAATTGACTTGATGACTATACGACAACGATACAAAGAGAGATATGGGAAATCGCTCTTTCATGATATTAAAGTAAGTTTTTAACCACTTTTAGATATACTCAGCACATGCACTATTCGCAGAGCCCTCTTAGAGAAATTCATTCAATCCCTATGGATTAGAGAAAAAAAAGTGTAATATCCACAATATAAATTTTCAATGCCTCAGGCTTATCAAGGTAAATGAGCAGTAAATTCTCAAGCCTTCATGATTTTGTCTCTCCTCAGTAGCAAGAGTGGTATATTAAACAGAGCAGAACAGAATACTCTAAGAAATAATTTTCATAAAAAATTTCTTACACTAATTGATACCATCTTTTGCACTGTCCTGCAAGATTAATACTACATTCCTGTTATCTTTGTCTGGTCTTACCCTCATGTTTAAATCTAGCCTTCAGAATAAGTCTTCCTCTAGTATTCCTGCTCTGCATCTTAAACTTTAGTATTGGTGAATAGTATAAAAATGACTCTTGCTAAGATACTTTGCATTTTTTTTTAATGCTGCTATTTTCCTGCTGAGATGTGCAATAGCTGCAGGAAACTGCTCATTAGTTTTTGCTATTGATCTTGAAAAGCATTAAACAGAACTGATCAAATTTTTTTCCAAGGTAAATCACTTGTAAACATCCAAGCAACCAAAGCCTGAGATATGTGAAATTCAGAAGTCCTGCCCCAGAATCCTTACAAAAACATTGCAATATTTTAGAAAATCTTACAACTATACTCCAATCCTTGACACACAGTGAAGAAAGACTGCAGTGAAGTTGATGTGGTTTAACCCAGCAGCAGCTCAGCACCAAACTGCCATTCACTCGCTGTCCCCTCCCAATGGGACACAATAGGAAAATAAAAAAAACAAAATGAAACTTGTGGATTGTGATAAAACTTATTTATTAAGACAGAAGAGCATGGGAAAAAATAACAGTAAAGATAATTGTATTTTTATACATATTTACAAAGAAAAATGATGCACTTGCTCACTACCTGCTGACTGATGCCCAGCTAGCCCCCAAGCAGGGGCTGCCCCTCCCCAGCCAACTCCTTTCAGTTTTGTGATTTCACATGCTGTTATAAGATGCACCTCTGGCCAGTTTAGGTCAGAGCTGTCCCAGTTTTGTCCCCTCGCAGCTCCTTGTGCCAGCCAGCCTCAAAGTGGCAGGACAGCACAAGAAGCTGAAAAACTGAGATGTCCTTGGTTCTGTGCAATGCTGCTAAGCAAACAACTAAAACAATATGTTAAACACTTTTCCTTTAAAGACAAGACTCAGCACCATACCAGAAAACATGAAGAACACCAACTCTGTCCCAGCTGAAACCAGGACAGAAATACAGTCACAGAATTTTTTTTCTCTTGCAGCATTTTGCTTCAGGACATTATGAGAGTGCTTTACTTGCTATCTGTGCTGGTGATGTTGAAGATTATTAAGAAAGAAGACAACGGATTTTGAACCTGTATAAACTGATTTTAAGTGGAAATTGAAGCTATACACAATTGTAATTGTAGGAGGTATCTAATCTACTCAAAAGATCAGAAAAATCAGTGCTCAACATTTGACAATTTAAAATTTTTTTTGAGACAAGAAAAATGTAAACACATTATCAGGAACATGGTTTTATCCCTATTTCAGACTAACGTTCCTGTTACCATTAGTATTGTAAATTAATGGAAGAATTGGTAGAAGTACTTTATGTAAGCACACATTTATGATTTAGTCGTGCAACACTCCAAAACCTTAAGACAACAGGCTTGGTGATCCATTAATTCTACTCACCTGCTTTGATGAGGAAAAAAAAATGACTGGAAGATGAGGCATTTCACGGCTTTCTGCAGAGAACTTCCATTCCAAAGGATTAAGTTTCGAAACGCCATTTGCACCTGTGTCATTTAAATCATAGGAAGCCCCTCGTGGTGCGAGTTCTGAGCTGGCTCACACTGGCCAACACTTCACTCCCAAAGGTTCAAAGATGCAGTGCTCTTCACGGAACGTTTTGTGACAACTCGTACCACAATGAACAAAGTGTAGAATGAGTCATAAACCCAGAGATAAACATAACGCTCCTTTATAAAAATATTTTCAGTCTATCAGTTAAAGTTTCTAGCGCAAACATTTGTGTCTTCTATCTATCTGTACTGACATGATATTTCAAAGTATGGGAAAACGAGGTAATATTACATTTCAGAACTTCCCAGTGTTGTTTTCGCCTTTTGTTTTGCCTTATTTTCTTACAGATCTTCGATCCTGACACAGACCTCTGCTTTGTTTAAAACAGGCACTGTGACTTTCTGCCAGCAAGGCTCAGTGTTACAGAATAAAACACTATTAGAACAAATACGTGCTTGACTTTGTGCTGTCGTACCACCTCCAGACTGAAAATAACACATTTCCAGCATATCTCTGTTTTCACAAACATTTGTGCCATAAAACTTAGCATAAACATGAAATTTTAGTTGGGTCCCGCTTGAGTTTGAGGAACTTCAAAATTCACGAGGTAGAAAATAGAACTATCGAGTCGGAACTTTAGACTGAATGGTTCTAGAAGAAAAAATGACCGCCCAGAAAGTAAGACAGCGATAAACACGACGCCAACACGTTAGCATTAACAAAACCCTAAACTTGAGTTATAGTCTCGCAAGCGTAATTACGGGTAACCAGCTCACCTCACCACTGTGCAGGGTGTGGAAAGTGAAAGTGTTGTTTCTGCGGTGAACAATGGAGAAGGGCAATTGATCTAAAGAATTAAGTTGTAGCATATTCTTAGAAATAATTAGTACGAAAAGTAAGAATAATATACACATATTGGTAACATTTTTAGAAACTTAATTACTGAATTACCTAACAAATTCGTTCTCACAGCAGATTTTGAATGTTCTAAACAACGTGTGTATAGTGTTTGGAACTAGAGAATATATTGTAACGTTGTTCATTAGACCAGCAGAAGTGAAATACAT